AATGAAGAAGCCGAGCGCGCGCAGCATCGAGAGCGCATGACCGCCCTCATCAAAGAGTACGACGAAGCCCGCGCAGCCGACGACGAAGACGCGATGGCAGCCACTGAAAAGAAGTACGCCGACTACATAAAGCGCGGCAGAAAATCCGACCCCGAAGAGCAGTCGGAGGAATACCTGGAGTACGGACCAAACGACCCCGACCCGACCGTCGACTACTACTACCCGCCCCTGAGCAAGGAAGAACAGGCGAAGTTCGACGAGGAAACGCGCCGCAATTCCGCCGCCGACATCCAAACCCCCAAACTCACCATCCCACTAAACATCCGCAGCCCCTAAACTGTCCCCCTCCCTCTGGGAGAGGGCTAGGGTGAGAGCAGCCCCCGTCGCTTCAGTCCGCCACAACCACAGGCTCATCGGCGAATTCCGGCATCACCTCGGACGCGAACATCTCGATGCAGCGCAGGGACTTGTCGAGGTCTAGACCTGCCGCGCCGAACTTGCCGAAGATGCGGTTGATGCCCTTGGACCGCAGCACTTCTATCGCTCGCAGACGACTTCGGGCGTGCCGACTAGCGGGAGGATGCCTTCTTCGCGCGCGCGCCGTCCGGCTTCCAAGCGGTCGCGGTCGCGGTGTACCCAGTGCTTGTAATTTTCGGGCATGTTGCCGTCCCTGTCGGCAGGGTTGCCAACGCGGTAAAACTCTTGGTTGATGCTGTCCTCCAAGCCCTTAATGTCGTTCTCTGCCTGCTCCATAGTGGGCGCGACATAGATGTTGGTGCTCACGGGCAGGTCGATGTGTTCATGTGGGTTGCCGTAGTGCTCCATGCGCTCGTGCCACAGCTTCACGACCTGTGGGGTCTGCCCGAGCGTTGTGGTTGGGCCGCCGACGATGATGGGCAGTCCGCGCCTTGCCGCGTTATCAACGCTCTCCGGGCTGGTGCTGACGGCGATGTAGATTGGCGGGCCGGGCTTCTGGATGGGCTTGGGGTATTACCCAGATGTCCTCGAAGTCAACGAACTTGCCCTTGTAGGTGGTCTCGCCGTCCTCCCAGCATCTCTGGACAACCTCGAGGTACTCGTTGAACATCTCGCGCGAGTGGGCAATATCCACGCCAATGCCGTGGAACTCCTGCGCCTGATAGCCTGCGCCCACGCCTAGGTTGAAGCGCCCGTTCGATATGATGTCGATGATCGCGCTCTCCTCGGCGACGAGCACGGGATTGTGGAAGGGGAGAACGACAATGGCGGTGCCGATGCGCGCGTTCTTGGTCTTTGCAGCGACCGCGCCCATGAACGAGAAATGCCCGACAGTATGCCGTGCCGGGAAAAGTGGTGCTCGCCGAGCCAGATATCCTGAATACCAAGACTGTCTGCCATTTCGATCTGCTCCAGTGCGGAATCGAAAGCGCGCTCGGCGGTCCAGTCTTCGTGCCAGCGGATGATGTCGAACATGCCGAATCTCATTCTCTTCTCCTTTGTGCGCTCAGCGCTTTTTGCCCGATGAACGGACTCCTACTGCTCTCCTATATGTAGGGGAACGTAAGAGTGTGACCGGGATATTGTCGGGATGGGATGGAGATTACCTGTTGCGGAGGCGCGGGTCAAGGACGTCGCGCAGGAGTCGCCGAACAGGTTGAACGCCAGAACCGTAACGGTGATCGCAAGGCCCGGGTAGAACGCCATCCACCAGAGCGGCTTGAACGATGAGAAGTTGGCGAAGGCGAGCATGTTGCCCCAGGTGGCTGTGGGCGGCGGGACGCCGGCGCCCAGGAAGCCCAGCCCGGACTCGATGAGGATTGCGACGCCGAGGTGCGCGGTCGCCAGGATCAGGTATGGCGCGACGCACTGCGGGGCTACATGGCGGAACATGATGCGTATGTCGTTCGCGCCGATTGCGCGCGCGGCAGTCACGTACTCCATCTCACGTATTTGCAGGGCGACGGAGCGGATTACGCGACCACCGAATGGGATGCGCGTGATCGATATTGCCAGAATTACGGTCCCCAGACTCGGGTCCAGGGCCGCGAGCAGAAGCAGAGCTAGTATGACGTCGGGGAATGCTTGGAGTATCTCCAGCAAGCGCTGAAGTATGAGGTCAACTTTGCCGCCCAAATAGGCGCTCACAATCCCCAACAGCGACCCGCCGGTTGTGCCGAATAAGACCGCTATTATAGCGACGATGAGTGTGGTGCGGGTTCCAAAGATAACCCTGCTCAGGATATCGCGCCCTTGCTGGTCAGTCCCGAAGTAGTGGTCCGCGTTGGGTTCACCCGACATGTGGGTGAAGTCGCCCTTATTCTCTGGCCACGGGGTGATATGGGGGCCGCGAGCGCCATCAGAATGAGTAGAATCAGAACAAGCGCGCCTGCTGCGCCCAGCGGGTTCTGTACGATGAAGCGGCGCAGCCCTCGCCATAGTGTGCCTCTTTGGAGTTGAGTCTGTTCTGCCAGGGTTGTTGCTTCTGTTTGCATGTGACCCTATGTGCTATTTTCGTTAGCTAGTGTGAAGTCCCACTGATCCTATGAGGGGGGAAGCTGTGTAAATTCAGGCTAGGAGTAGCGTATGCGCGGATCCAGCCAACCGTACATTATATCTACGACGAAGTTCGTCATAGTGAAGATTATTCCGTATAGTAGGACGAGGTTCTGAATCATCACCACGTCCCGCTCGGCTATCGCGCGTATCAGGATTTCGCCGAGTCCTCTGACATTGAAGACCTTCTCCATTGCCACCGAACCGCCGAGCAGGAAGCCCAATATAATACCGGATATGGTAAGCACCGGCAGTATGGCGTTCTTGACGGCGTGGCGCATCATCGTAACCCGCTCCACAAGCCCCTTTGCCCTAGCCGTCCTGATGTAGTCTTGACCGATGACCTCAAGCAGGGAAGAGCGAGTCATGCGCGCGATGTATGTTGCTCCGCCGATGCCCATCATTAGCATGGGTGCCCACACGATTTGCAGGTTTGCCTTCGGGTCCTCCCAGAGTTGCGATGTGGCAATTGGCGAAGCGTACCCGAATTGCACGGCCATGAATATCACAAGTAGCAGACCGAGCCAGAAACCCGGTATCGCCAGGAAAAGGATCGTTCCGACACGTGTTACATAGTCTGCGATGCTGTTCCGTTTCAACGCACCAATGAGTCCGACCGGGAATCCGATGAGCCACGATAATAGAGTAGCTCCAATGGCGAGTTCCAGCGAGAGCGGCGCTCGCCGCTTCAGTACATCCGCAACTGTGTCGGTACGGAAGAAGGACTTACCCAGTTCAAGGGTGGCAAGGTCCTTGAGCCAGCTAAGATACTGGACTAGAGAGGTCTGTCCAAGCCGAGCGCTTCCATAAGGGCTTCGCGCTGCTGCGGGGTTATGCGCGACACCTCATTAGTGCCATAGAAGGCGATGAGAATGTCGCCCGGAATTATGCGCAGTACAATGAAGATGACCACAGTTATCGCCAGCAGGGTAGGAATGGCGAACAGAAGTCTTCTTATAAGATAGGTTCCGATTGTCTAATCCTCCGGGAGCGTCAATTTTACTTGTAAATTCGCGACAATAATGTTTGATTCTTCCATCTCTTGAGAGGGAGTATTCTGCTTTAGTGTTCGGTGAGCCTGCTGAAGCGCATTACGCGTTTCGACAGGCTCACCAAGATAGTGCTATAAGTTGGTGGCTATCGAGGGAAGTGCGGGCTGTTCTGGTCGAGCCACCAGGTTCCGCGGCGCTCAGCGTTATAGATGCCCACGCTGTACTCGCCGGTTTGCCCTTTCACATATTCCCAGTAGGCGTCGGGGAACTCTTCCCACGCGGCGGTGGCAAATGGCACCTGCTCCTCAAGAAGTAGGTCAAGCTCGTGGACGTAGTCCTTGCGCTTAGTGGGATCCAACTCGCCGTCTATCTTGCTAATCAGCGCATCCACGTCCTCGCTGCAGAAGCCGCCATAGTTCTCGGTCGCGCCGCAGCCGTACCACGCCCCTATGTAGGAGGACGGGTCGCCAAATGGGAAGACGGCGTATGATGTCGCAAGCTCGAAGTTGCCGTCCTGAATGCTCTGAATCGCCACGGGACCGTCAAGAGGTATCTGCTCCACGTTTATTCCCTGTTCGCTGAGCAACTGGGCAATCAGCGGTCCCCAAACGGCATAGTGGCCTTCGACAGAGTACTTGATGCTTATGTCCAAGCCGTCGCCGTAGCCGGCTTCTTCCAGCAATGCTTTGGCCTCCGCCAGGTACGGTGCCTTCTCGGCAGTCGGAACGCAGGTGTCGCGTTTGCGCAGGTCTTCATAAGAAGACGCCCACGGACTCCACCTGAATATATAGCCGCAGCCGAAGCCGTTGAGTGACACGGTCTTGAAGACGCTGTCTTCCATCGCGTCGCGGTCGATGATCAGGTTGATTGCCCTTCGCACGCGAACATCGCTCAAAGGGACCTTCTGTATCCTGCTTCATCCAGATGCCCTGCACGGTTGTCTGCGCGTAGCGGTGCAGCTTCATTCCTTCGGGCGTGTCTGCTACCCAGTCATGGTAAGACTTGGGGTCGATAACACGCGCGTAGTCGGACTTCTTTGCTAGGAACGCTGCTATCTTGGTCTGCGCGTCTGGCATGTGATAGATGTTGATACCGTCGAGGTAGGGAAGGTTGGGGTTCCAGTAGTCGGGGTTCGCCTCAATCTTCCAGAACTCCGCGTCCCGTGTGTTCCTTATACCTGTATGGCCCTGTGCCGGGGTAGTAGGAATGGTACGCAGGTCAGAATTGTTATCGTCAAGCGTCTGCTTGCGAACGATGACGTTAAAGCCGGTGGCGAAGGCGTTAAGTATGAAATCCGCGGCGCGCGCCTCCTTCAGCACGAGTCTGAAGGTGAAATCGTCCGGCGCCTGAACGCCATCGTCCGCCACGGCGGAGAACAGCGCCTGCCGCCTGCTCGACACATGGTCGGGCGGGAAGATGATGCGGTCGAAGGTCGCCTTGACATCTGCGGATGTCATATCCGCGCCATCGTGGAACTTTACGCCCTCGCGCAGCGGGAACGTGAACGTCTTGCCGTCGGACGAAACTTCCCACGAAGTCGCTAGACCCTGCGCGATGATGCCCCTGGCCCGGGTCAGTCGGGTCGTTCATGACCAGAAGGTCGAACAGCGGGCACTGGGGCGAGCAGTTGTTGGTCGTGCCCGACTGGTGCATGTCAAGGTGCGGTGGGTTGGCGGCGAATCCGTATTCGAGCCAGCCACCGCGCTGCGGACCATCTTCGGGTGCCGCAAGATAAGTGAGCTCGACTTCTGCTGCGGGAATCGGCGTGGCGGCCGCAGGGAGTGCGGGCTGCTGTCCGGTGGTGCCCGCGCCCGCTGCCTGCTTGGCCACAGGTACCGCTGTGGCTGCTGGCGCTGCGGGTGCGGCCTCATCTGCGCTTGAGCAGGCAATCGCGGCTAACATTAGCGCGAGGATTGCCGTGATCGGCAATAGAGTTTTGATGTATCTCTTCATTCGGCCCCCCCTTTGAAGGTGTAGTTCGTTGGTGTCTGTGTGCATTGATTCCTTCCACGTCCACGCCGATCATTCAACGGCGAAATTCTCTAAATTGCCCCCGAATATATGCCTTAATACATCTGTTGTCAACTTCGCATGTAAAGCACTGGATCTGGTTTGCCCAGTGAGTGGGATGCCTTCTGTGAAGCAAATAGCATTGAGAAATCGAATACAACATTTCGCTCAATATGCCTAGAATATATCGTGAAAACAGGCTAACCTTGAATGCTCTAAGGCGTTGTACTGATTTAGGGGCACATCGGAGGAGGAAAGAAGCGTTGTGCTTCGGATTCGATCAGATATGACTTATATTTATTCTTGCGTTCCTATTATGGATATGATATAAATAAGACATTATGCTGATAATCTCTATTAACTCGGACACCGAACAGCTTGAGTCAATGCGAAAGAGTGGAACATTTGATATGGAGGCAATCATGGAAGACCGTACCGAACTGACGGGTGCAGGCTTCGGAGATGCCAGAGATAAAGTCGCGAAGACTGCACAGATCAAGGAAAACGATAACCGGGACTTCGCCGGAGAGACGACTGATACGATCCGCGAATATCTGACTGCGATCGGACAGCATCCGTTGCTTAGCAAGGCGGATGAGATTCGCCTCGGCCTCGCTGTGGAGCGCCGGATGGAATTGAAGCAGCGTCGACAAGCCTTTGAAGAAGAGCACGGATATCCTCCGTCAACTGCTGAACTCGTGGCCGATATCTATCGGGCGCTGAGTGACTATAGGTTCACGCTTCTAACATTTGCTGCATTGCTTGACCATGAACTCAACGACAATGCAACGCTGAGCGAGGTGCTGGCAATTCCCGAGGTCCGGGATGCGCTTGATATGCCGATGGACGCCGACATAAAGTCCGGGATGGCGGTCGCGCTCGAAGCTAAGGATGCGGATGCCGCGTCGCATGTCGGTTTAATCTCAAAGCTGCGTTGGCTGCTTCCGCTCCAGGTTATCTCTATGCTCGAAGACGATGCGGCCAATGAGCTGCCCGATGGCGCCATCAGGGAAGTTGAAGGCTGGTGGAAGTGGATAGAAAACGCGGGCAGGGGCGCCGGCGAGGATCTGACAAACGCTAACCTGAGGTTGGTCGTAAGCATCGCGCGCAAATACCAGAACCGCGGCCTGCCAATGCTGGACCTGATCCAGGAAGGCAACCTGGGCCTGATGCGCGCTGTCGAAAAGTTCGATTCGCACAAGGGATTCAAATTCAGTACATATGCGACCTGGTGGATCAGGCAGGCTGTTACGCGCGCTCTGGCCGACCAAGGACGCACAATTCGGTTGCCAGTTCACGTTGTTGAGCGCTTGCAGCAGCTAGGCTCGGCCGAGCGCGAACTGCACCGCAGGCTGGACCACGAGGCTTCTCCTGACGAGATTGCCGAAGAACTCGGCTGGTCGATTGAGAATGTTGAGGTTCTGTTGCAGCAGAGGCAGCACACCGTTTCGCTGGAAACCCCGGTCGGCGAGGAGGAATCCACGCTTCAGGACTTCATACAGGACACTGGGGGTTGGGCGACGGACGAGATGGCGATCCGCCTGGTCACCCGCGAGAATGTTGTTGATGCAATGCAAGACTTGCCGCCTCGCCTGCGTCTTGTGCTCACCCTGCGTTTCGGCTTCTTTGACGACCGTCCGAGAACACTGGAAGAGGTAGGGCAGGAGCTGGGCGTTACGCGAGAGCGCGTGCGGCAACTGGAAAGGCAGGCGTTGGACAGACTGCGCAGTTCAGGCCGTCTGCCATCCCTGGCAGAGCAAGGGGCGATCTAACTCTACGAGCTCAACCTCGCTTAAATGTAGGACGGGGCAACCATCTTGGTTGCCCCGTTCGAATTCTTATACTTGATTTAGCTGACGGATTCGCAAGGGAAGGTATGGCCCCGGTGGCCATCGGCGCTTCAACTCTCTGCTTGCTCGAAACACTACTTCTTCAGCCATCCTCGCCGTGAGGCATGACCAACACGGGCGTGTTCCCAGCACGGATAACAGCGTCCGTTACGCTCCCCAATACCCAGCGGCCTAAGCCTGTTCGCCCTTGCGTGCACATCGCAATGAGACTGTTCTGCTGCGCCTCGGCGTATTCTACTATCTTGCTCGCGGGTCCCCCATCAAGCGTCCCCCACTGCACACGAATTTGTCGTCCTTCCTCGATGATGGCAGCGGTGCCTTGTAGGTACTCATCAGAGGACTCCTGAGCCTGCTGCATCAAGTCGTCTGGATATGGGTAACCTCGGGCACCGCGCCGATATACAGTTGCGAGGCGGACGGTATGCACGTTACGAGCGTTGTGCCGAGACTCAATGCCTCCGCCAATTCCACCGCTTGAGGTAGAACATCCTCGGAGCGTTCAGACATGTCCAGCGGGACTACGAGGTTCTGAAAAGTAGTCTCAGGGACGGTGTCGTCTTCCCGAGGGTGTATCACCAACACCGGCGTCTCCGCGCGCGGCAAAATTGTAGTCGTGACGCTGCCCACTACCATGCGCCGCACTCCCGAGCGCCCATGAGTGCTCAGGGCAATCAGGTCAGGCTGATGCTCATCCACATACTTCAGTATGACTGCAGCCGGCGCGCCGACTTCGTGGTGAGTTTCGCACTGAACACCTCGGACTGAAGCCTTTCCGAGACGCTCTGCAAATAATCGGCTACGTTTGGCAGCGATCCTTCATCCCGTGCGGTCCCTTGTACGCCGAACATGTCCGCATAAGGGTCGCTATCCGCATGCAGCAGCACGACTTTGGAGTTCAGTCTGAGAGCAAGCGGGGCTACATAAGCCAGTGCGGCTTCTGAGAGCTTGGATCCGTCAAGTGGCACAACTATGTGATTGAACACAATCCTATTCTCCTATTCGCTTCGTCTAGGAACGGCAGTTGAGGGCGAGGACCTGACAACAAAGAATGCCGGGACTTGTGCGGATCTGTGCTCAAGTCCCGGCAATTCTGCTCATACTCCTACTTTGCTGTGATCGCGCCCGCGACTAGTTGCCGTTCGCGCTCTGCATCGCCATGGTGACGGAAGCGGGGTTCATGGGCAGCTCGTCCATTCGCGTGCCTACTGCGTCGTAGATGGCGTTCGCTATCGCTGCCATCGGCGGCACTATTGACACCTCGCCAACGCCGCGCACGCCGTAAGGATGCGAAGGATTCGCAACTTCGACAATTACAGTGTCTATCATTGGCAAATCGAGCGAGGTCGGCATGCGATAGTCAAGCAGGCTTGAGTTGTCCATCTGGCCGCTGTTGTTCATGAAATACTCTTCGTTCAGCGCCCAGCCAATGCCCTGCACGACGCCTCCCTGAATCTGACCCTCTACATAGCTGGGGTGGACTGCCTTGCCCGCGTCCTGTATTGCCGTGTAGCGCAGGATGGTTACCTTGCCCGTCTCGGGGTCAACCTCCACATCCACGATGTGCGTGGCGAAAGTGCTGCCCGGTCCGGAAGGATCGAGATTTGCTCGTCCAACGACGGGACCGCCCGTCTCTGTGAGGCGCTCAGCCATTTCCTTGAAGCCGATGCTCAATTCGGGGTCGGACTTGTGGCTGAAAGTGCCGTCGGCGAAGCCGATCTGATCAACATCCGCCTCCCACATCAGAGCCGCGCGCTCGATCATCTGGCGCTTCACGTCCTGAGCCGCCTCGAAGCTCGCCCAGCCCGTCTTGAAGGCTGCGCCGCTCCCTCCTGTCATGGAGGTATAGCCGATAGTTTCAGTGTCGCCGACCTGCGGGTTCACATCCTCGACCGGAATGCCCAGCACCTCGGCGAACTGCTGCGCGGCGGCTGGCCTTGTGCCGCCAATGTCCACAGAGCCGATGGTCAGGTTGACTGTGCCATCGTAGTTGACATTCGCGGTGGCGCAAGCGGCGCCGGCGCCGTTCATCCAGAATCCTGTAGCCACGCCGCGCCCGCGATTGGGGCCTTCGAGCGGCGTCTGGTAGTGGTCGTGGTCTCTGGCAGCTTCGTTTGTCTCGATGCAGCCTATCACTGGGTTGACGACGCCGTAGCTGCGCCGTGTGCCTTCCTTCGCGCTGTTCATAATGCGGAAGTCGAGCGGGTCGATGTCGAGCTTGCGGCAAATCTCGTCTATGACCTGCTCCGACGCGAACGCTGCGCCAGGCGCGCCGGGGGCGCGGTAGGCTGTCGTCTTGGGCTTGTTGTTCACCACATCGTAGCCGTCGAGCCGAAGGTGCTCCACATCGTAGGGCGAATATATGCAGTTCATTGCGGCGCCCACCGGCGAGCCGGGGTATGCGCCTGCCTCGTACTTCAGGTCTGCTTGCACGGCTGTCAGCTTGCCGTCGTTCGTTGCGCCAATCTTGATCCACATGTAGCTGCCGGATGTTGGGCCTGAGGCTTCGAGCACATCGGCGCGGCTCATCGTAACCTTGACCGCATGCCCGCTCTTGCGTGATAGCGCGGCTGCGACAGGCTCAAGATAGATAGTAGTCTTGCCGCCGAAGCCGCCGCCGATCTCCATCGGAACGACCTTGATGCGGGAATGCGGAATGCCCAATACGGCGGCAGTGCGATCTCGAATCTGGAAGTGCCCCTGCGAACTGCACCAAACGGTGATTCTGCCATCCGCCTGCCACCAAGCGGTCGCAGTGTGCGGCTCGATATAGCCCTGATGAACGGTCTTCGTGCGGAAGACCTTCTCCACGACGATGTCAGCCTCGGCGAAGCCCTTCTCGATGTCGCCAAGCGTCATCTCGGAGTGGCTGGCGATGTTGCCCTTGTAGTTTTCGTGAAGCTGGGGTGCGCCGTCCGCGATTGCTTCTTCGACCGTTGCAACCGACGGCAGCACCTCGTACTCGACATCAATCAGTGCGAGCGCTTCCTCCGCGGCGTGGACGCTCTGCGCTGCGACTGCGGCGATTGCATGCCCTTTGTAGAGGGCCTTGCCACCGGCGAGGACGTTGTTGCTGAGGTGCTTCAAATTCGTAGGCGGACCGGCAACTATCACCCGTGCCTCGTCAGGAGCCTCGGCGAAGTCCGCCGAAGTTACGACTGCGAGCACTCCAGGGTGCGCCTCTGCCTTGCTGGTGTCTAGGGACAGGATGTTGGCGTGAGCGTGAGGGCTGCGGAGCACCTGGCCGTGCAGCATCCCAGGCAGGTTCATGTCAGCGCCATAAAGCGCCTTGCCCGTCACCTTATCGTAGCCATCGTGCCGAATCGGGCGCGTGCCTACTACATTGAATTCCTTAGTCGAAAGAACTACATTAGATGCCATTTGCGACTAGACCTCCGTGCGGGATATATAGCGGTTCAATTTCAGGCGCATTGTAACACAAACGGGTGAGTTATTTGCTAATGAAAGTTTAACTCGCAGGCCCAAGTCGGGGTCGGGTCTTACTTCAATTGTAAAATCTCCTTACAATGCCATTCTTTGCGCCCCCATTCTGCCCTATGCTATAATTCGTTCGCTATTTTGACGCCCACGCCTCCAGTTCAAGAGGCGGCGTCGCAGCATAAATGAGGAGCGCACATGGCAGCGATGATTGAGATTATCAACGATGGTAGCGTCACTTCCGCCAAGGGCTTCTTGGCAGGGGGAACTTACGCCGGACTCAAGACGCAGGATGACGGTGTTCTCTGACCTGGGCATTCTGCTTTCGGAGACGCAGGCTAACCTTGCCGCCACATTCTCAACGAACAAGATTCTCTCTCCATCGGTAGTATTGAGCCGACAGCGCGCTCAGCGCGGCGCTGCCCGTGGCGTGGTGGCCAACAGCGGCTGCGCGAACTGCTGCGTAGGCGAGCAGGGGCTTTATGACGCTGCCGAAATGACGGAACTCGCTGCGGCGCATACTGGCGTAAGCGCCGACGATATGCTCGTCTGCAGCACTGGCATGATTGGCGTAGAGTTGCCGATGGCGCTCCTCCGACAGCATGTTGGCAATGTAAGTCTGTCTGGCGATGGCGGACACGATTTCGCTCGCTCAATCATGACCACCGATACGCGCCGCAAGGATCTCGCCGTATCAATTGACTTGGGCGGACGCAAGGTCGTTCTCGGAGGCGCGGCGAAGGGCGTTGGCATGATCCACCCCAACATGGCAACGATGCTCGCGTTTGTGGCGACTGACGCACCCGTTGAGCAGTCGTTCCTGCAATCGGCGCTGAGCAGGGCAGTGGATGACTCGTTCAATATGTGCAGTGTTGACGGCGACCAAAGCACCAACGACACCGTGCTTGTATTCGCCAATGGGCAGGCCGGAGGCGATGAAGTCGTAGCCGGCACACCGGAAGCAGAAGCATTCGAAGAGGCGCTGACCTTCGTCTGCACTTCGCTCGCCAAGGAGATGGTGCGAGACGGCGAGGGAGCGAAGAAACTCATTGAAGTTACGGTCGGCGAGGCGGGAACCATGGCGGACGCGCGTAAAGCCGCAAGGGAGATCTCGACATCATCTCTCGTCAAGGCTATGGTGCATGGCAATGATCCCAACTGGGGTCGCATCATGATGGCCTTGGGCAAGAGCGGCGCGGACATGGACGAGTCCAAGATTGACATCTTCATCGATGACATACAGATTGTGCACGAGGGCAAGGCGATTCCCTTCCACATGGATTCGGTGGTGAGCTCAATGGCTAGCTCGCCTGATGTGCGTTTCCGCGTCAGCCTTAATCTGGGCGGGGAGAGCGCCACGGCTTGGGGCTGCGACCTGACCGAAGAGTATGTAACATTCAATTCGGCGTACAGCACTTAAACAGCATGTCAATATCTCACGCCCATGCTGGCGCTATGGAAGACCCCGTGGGAATAAATGCGCCACAAACCGATGCACAGACGGGGGGATTTGGTTCCGTGGAATCGGATTCTTCAGCGCTCTCGGATGACGTGGAAAAGGAGACCAACTTCAGTGGGACGATTGTAGTCAAGATTGGCGGCAGCACCCTAGGCAGCCACGACACAACTCTGCGTGACCTCGTCACGCTTCAGAGGCAGGGCATTAACTCCATAGTTGTGCATGGCGGCGGCAAGATAATCAGCGATTGGATGGCAAAACAAGGAGTGATGCCGCGCTTCGTGCAGGGCCTTCGCGTGACCGACGAACCAAGTCTTGACATCGTGGTCGCTGTCCTCACGGGCCTCATCAACAAGAACCTTGTTGCTTCCATGTTCGAGTTGGGCGCCCGATCAATTGGCCTGAGCGGTGCGGACGACGCTATGTTGCGCGCCAACATCCGCGACCCTGAACTTGGACTCGTGGGCGACATTGTTGATGTCAACACACATCCCATATACACCGCTCTCAAATCAGGGTATATTCCCGTAATTGCACCGGTCGGAGTTAAGTCTACCGAAGGGGGCAGCGGCTCACCCACCCTCCTGAACATCAATGCGGATACCGCAGCAGGCGAAATCGCCGCGGCTATTGGCGCAAGCAGGCTCGTCTTCCTGACGGATGTGCAGGGAGTTCTGGACACATCCCGCAGGCTCATACCGCGCCTGACGGAGCGACAGGCTAGGGGACTGATCAATTCCAACGTAGCGGCGGGTGGCATGATTCCAAAGCTGGAAGCATGCTTGACGGCGCTGCATTCCGGTGGTGTCTCTCATATCGTAGATGGTCGAAAGCCGTCAGCGTTGATGGACGTCATCTCCGGCAAAACTCTCGGTACACGAATTGGATAGATAAAGGCAGGCAGATTTTTTATGGCTGGTGATTACCAGAACGGCAGCGGTGGAGCAAACGACAACGATGGCGACGGTGACTCCACGGTGGAGCTGTACCAGTTCTTCAGGCAGATAGGGACGCTCGCAAAGTGGATTGTCCTTGCGGTTGCCATCATTGTGTTAATATCGCTCTTCGTCTTCGGGCGCAGCGTCTTTACGGACTGGCTGTGGTTCGACAATCTCGGCTATCGCGGAATATTCGTTAAGGTCTTAACGACACGCATAACCCTGTTCTTGATCGGCGCGGCTGCGATGGCAGTGCTGTCAGGGATTAGCATTTACACAGCAAGCCTTCTATCCAGGGGCAGGGCATCACTGCCTCTGCCTGATGATCTGTTGAGCTTCATGGGCCGCGCCCTATTGAGCATAAGCGGGGGCGTGGTGCTTGTACTCGCCGTAGTCTTCGGTACGCTGATGGCGGCGCGCTGGGAGATATTCCTGCGCTTCTCTAACGCTGCGCCTTTCGGACAAATCGAGCCGGTGTTTGGGCGTGAAGTTGGCTTCTATGTCTTTACGCTGCCGATGCTCAGTTTCCTGCAGGGCTGGGTGCTGGGCATGCTGATTCTGACGCTGATAGCGACGATAGCCTTCTACTTCCTGCGCTTCAGCATGCAGGGCATGAAACTCGACTTGAACGCACCGGGCGTGAAGATACATTTGTCAATTCTGGCTGCGCTGGTGATGTTCACGATAGGCTTCGGCCATTGGATCGACAGGTGGGATCTGCTGCTCTCGGAAGATGGCGCGGTGTTCGGCGCCGCTTACACCGACGTGAACGCGCGCATGCCGGCGCTTCTGATAATGACCATCATCGCGGTCGGCGCGGGCATACTCATGCTGGCAAACACATACTTCAGCGGCAGGCGATTGCTGATTGGCGCATTCGCTCTCTGGTTCGTTGCGAACATCGTGCTGGGAAGCGTCTGGCCGAACCTCAATCAGCAGTTCACGGTCAACCCTAACGAATTCGTGCGCGAAGAGCAGTACCTTGTGCGCAACATCGAATTCACTCGCGCTGCGTATGGGCTTGACCGGGTGACCGAAGAGTTCTACCCGGCGGAGACGGCTGTCAGCACGGAGGTCATTCAGAGTAACCCGAAGACGATCAACAACATACGCCTTTGGGACTATCGCCCCCTTACCGATGTATATAGGCAGATTCAGCTTATCCGTCCGTACTACGACTTCCACGACGCCGATGTTGACCGCTACGAAATCGATGGCGAATTGAGACAGGTTTTGCTCTCAGCACGCGAGGTCGCGCCGGAGAAGCTTGACGCCAATGCCCAGCAGTGGACGAATACGCGCCTGGTTTATACGCACGGAATGGGTATTGCGATGAGCCCCGTCACGGAGTTCACGCCGGAGGGAAGGCCCGAGTTTTTCGCCAAGGACATACCGGCCGATGGCGTAATTCCCATCCAATCCGCCGACTCGCAGGGTGAGCCGGAACTCCTGGTTACGAACCCTCGCATCTATTACGGCGAAAACACGCTGGAGTACGTGATAGTCAACACACTACAGGAAGAGCTTGACTACCAGACCGAAAGTGGCGACCTTTTCCGCACGTACTATGACGGGCCCGGCGGTGTGCAGATGTCGTCGTTCTTCCGCAGGCTTGCTTATGCCTGGCAGTTCGCAGACGTGAATATCCTTATCAGCGGGCAGATTACGGGCGACAGCCGCCTGCAATATCGGCGCGCCATACAGGAGCGCATTCACACCGTCGCGCCCTTCTTGCTGCTGGACAAAGACCCGTACATAGTCGCGGCAGAGGGTGGCCTTTACTGGATTCAGGATGCTTATACCTATACTGACAGATATCCTTACTCAGACCCGTTTCGCCCAGACCTCAACTATTTGCGTAACAGCGTGAAAGTCACGGTGGACGCCTTCACCGGCGACCTACGCTTCTATGTATGGGACGAGTCCGACTCCATCATACGCACCTACGAGCGCATATTCCCAGACCTGTTCCTTCCACAAGGGGACATGCCTGAATCGCTAAGGGCCCATGTGCGCTACCCGCAAGACTTGTTCCGAATACAGGCGGAAAAGTATATCCGCTATCATATGCAGGTTCCTCAGAATTTCTACAATAACGAAGACCTGTGGGCAGTCGCCGAAGAGAAGTTTGGGCAGGGTGACGCGCTTCAGCAGGTGGAGCCTTACTTTGTCATAATGAAACTGCCTGGCGAAGTGAAGGAAGAGTTCGTGATGCTTCTGCCTTACACACCCAACGAGCGGCAGAACTTGATCGGCTGGCTCGCGGCGCGCAGCGACGGTGACAGTTACGGCAACCTCATAGCGTACAACTTCCCGAAGGACCGGCAGATCGACGGACCCGCTCAGATTGAGGCGCGCATAGACAACGATCAGGACATATCTGCCTGGTTCACGCTGCGCTGCACGACTGGATCGGAGTGCCTGCGAGGAAACCTTCTGGTCATCCCGGTTGGTCAGGGAATCATCTACGCGGAGCCGGTATATATCCGAGCTGAAGGCGTCAATTTCCCCGAACTGAAGCGCGTAATACTCGCCACGGGCGACAAAGTTGTAATGGAAGACTCGCTAAACGAGGCGCTCGCCGCGCTCACCGGCTCACAGTCGTTCGTAACCGATGCCGAGAACGCCCCTCTGAAACCACTCCGGCACCATCTACATCAGGCGGTGCCGTGGAGGCGACAGTCGAGACGATTCAGCAAGCCATACAAGATGTGAAGGATAACCTTTCCGGACTTGAGGAAGCGCTGGACAGATTGACTGAATCGCTTTCAAATCAATAAAGATGTGGCGACATTCCTGAAAAAGCAGGGATGCCGCTTTTTACCCGTAAATTGAACGCTTATAACATTGTGGAGGAAGAACAATGACTTCAGCAGCAGAATGGAAAGAGAAAGAAAGTCAGTACTACATTCACACTTTCAACCGTCAGCCGATGGTCATAGAGCGCGGTGAAGGTGTGCGCGTATGGGATACGGAAGGCAAGGAATATCTTGACTTCACGGCCGGCTTGGCAGTGAACAACTTGGGTCATTGCCATCCTGCCGTCACAGAGGCGATTCAGCAGCAAGCGGCCACGCTGATGCAGACCTCCAACCTGTTCTACACTATTCCTCAACTTGAACTTGCCGAAGCCCTCGTCGAGAACAGTTGCATGGACAAGGTGTTCTTCTCCAACAGTGGCGTGGAGGCAAACGAGGGCGCGGTCAAGCTGGCGCGCAAGTATGGGCGGCTGCACCGCAATGGCGCGCAGGACATCATCACCGTGCTCAACTCGTTCCATGGCCGCACGCTCGGTATGATCGCGGCGACGGGTCAGCCCGCGTATCAGCAGGCATGGCTGCCGCTCGCGGAAGGCTATACGAATGTGCCTTACGAGGACCTGGACGCGATACGCGAGGCGACCACGGATCAGACATGCGCCATTATGGTCGAAGTTCTGCAGGGCGAGGGTGGCGTCAATGTGCCGACCGAGGGCTACTTGAAGGGGCTGCGTGAGTGGTGCGACGAGAACAATATCCTGCTGATATTCGACGAAGTGCAGACCGGCATGGGGCGGCTCGGCAGCCTCTGGGGATACGAGCGCTTCGATGTTGAGCCGGACGTGATGACATCCGCCAAGGGACTTGGCAATGGCGTGCCCATCGGCGCGTTCATGTGCAAGGATAGCTGCGATGTGCTGGAGCCGGGTGACCACGGCAGCACTTTTGGCGGCAACGTTCTCACTACCGCGGCGGGCAACGCCACAGTGCGCTACATGGTGGAGAACGACATCCCCGGTCATGCGCGGAAGATGGGCGAATACCTCGAATCGAAACTTGAAGAGATGCGGGCGGCGCGCCCGGATGTGGTCAAGGGCGTGCGTGGGCATGGGTCTGCTGATTGCGCTGCAATTGCAATCTCCGATTGCCCCGGCAGTAGTCGCAGCCGCGAACAACGAGGGCGTGCTTCTGAATCCGGTGCTTCCCGACGCCATTCGCTTTATGCCGCCGCTAATTATCACTGAGGCGGACGTGGACGAGTGCATCGAAAAACTCAATCGCGCGATTGATACCGTGCTGGCTGCATAAGCACAGCAATATTGGGCATAGTGCCGAGCAAGGCGCGGCGCTTGCGTGGTGCCAGGAGCGTCGTGGAGCAACAACCGATGCCAAAAAGGGGCAAGTAATCACGAATGAACTGGCGTGAACTCAAGATAGCAACATAACGCATGTAGCAGGCGCGGTGTCCGGTGGTCTGGACAGTTGCACAGTTACGCACTGGCTGAAGAGCAAAGGCTTTTCCGTGCACTGCTACACCGTTGACCTCGGACAGCCGGACGAGGAGAGCCTCGATGCCGTGAAGGAGCGCATGCTCGGCAGCGGCGCGGAGAGCGCGCAGATAGTGCAGGGACAGGACGCTCTCGCGGAGGCCGGTCTGAAGGTCGTACAATCGCAGGCGCGGTACGAAGGCGGTTACTGGAATACGACGGGCATCGCTCGTCCCATCACTGTCAGCGCGATGCTTCCTGAGATTGAGGCGCAGGATATCGGTGTGCTGTTTCACGGCGCGACAGGACGCGGCAACGACCAGGTTCGATTTCAACTAGCCGCGAACACGCTCCAACCCTCGCTGCATGTTTATGCGCCGTGGCGCGACCCCGAGTTCGTGCAGCAATTTCCCCGGCAGGCGGCAGATGCTTGACTACTGCGAGGCGAACGACCTTCCGATAAGGCCTTCGCGCGAGTCGCGCTACTCGACGGACGCGAACTTCTTGGGATTGACGCATGAGGCGGGCGACTTAGAAGATGTTCAGATCTCGCCCGTGTTTGTAGAGCCGGGGATGGGTGTCTGGCCCTGGGACGCCCCCGACAGGGATGAGATTGTCCACGATACGATGGGAAGAGGGCGTTCCGGTAACGCTCAACGGCAAGCCGCTGGGATTAGTCGAGATGTTCCAGTATGCGAACCGTGTTGCTGGTAAACATGCCGTGGGCATTGGCACGCATGTCGTGGAGAATCGCTTCGTAGGCGTGAAAGTCTCGCGGCATCTACGAATCACCAGGGCATGGAATTGCTTGGGCGAAGCTACGAGTACCTGCTGCAGTTCATCCTCGACCGGCGCGCGCGCGAACTGTTCGACTACCTTTCCGGTGTAATAAGCCTTCAGATATATCAGGGTTACTGGCTCGATTTGGCGACCACCTCGGCGCTGGCGGCACTGGAACCGATGACGCGCCTCTGCCACTGGCACAATTTCGGTCAGGCTGTACAAAGGTAGCATTTTCTTCGACACCGCCGAGGACACACCTGAGGCCATGCCGCACTCGCTCTATACAGACGACTCCTCGATGGAAGCTATGGGAACCTACGACCATTCGGACGCTGAGGGTTTCCTGAAGGTGCTTGGTATATCGTCAAAGAATGTGGGCACCGGCAGTATCCACATTTGGACAGATAACGCATAGACAGATAACGCACATTCGATAGTCCGACTAACGCCAAAATACCATTAAGTGGGTAAAACGCATGACACTTACTTCCACTGAGACTCGCAATCAGATGACGAATCTCGTGCGCGAATTCGTTCGCCGCGACGTCGATCCCGTTGTCAATTACTTCGAACACGAAGACATCTACCCTCAAGAGCTCGTGGACAAGATGGCCGAGATGGGACTCTTCGGCATCATGATTCCGGAGGAGTATGGCGGGCTTGGTCTCGACTACACGACATTTGCCTTGATATTCGAGGAGCTGAGCAAGGGTTGGATGAGCCTTACGGGGCCCCTCGGCACGCATCATATTCTCGCCTATGTCATTCTACATACGGGACGTGGAGATGAAGCAGCGATTTCTGCCCAAAATGTCAGAGGGAGTTATTCGGGGCGGCTTGGCGCTGACCGAGCCGGGCGGCGGAAGCGATATGCAGAATCTTCAGACCTCCGCTGTCAAGGACGGTGAAGAGTATGTCATCAACGGCAACAAGATGTTCATCTCAAACGGCGAGCACGGCAATGCTTTCGCTGTTCTTGCGCGCACCGACAAGACGCGGAGCCACCACATCGTGGCATAAGCTGCTTCGTGGTGGAGAAGCCTGCAGCCGGGTTCACGGTCGCGCAGAAGCTCGACAAGCTCGGCTATCGCGGCATAGACACCACTGAGCTCGTCTTCGACAATGTTCGCGTCCCCACTGAAATCTGGTGGGCGAGGCTGAGGGTCAGGGCTTCAGGCAGGTTATGAGCGGACTGGAGGGCGGGCGCATTAATGTCGCGGCGCGTGCCGTTGGCGTTGCGACCGCAGCCTTTGACGCCGCCATCAAGTACGCGCAGCAACGCGAATCATTTGGGAAGCCAATCGCGCAGCATCAGGCGATTCAGCTGAAGCTCGCGGAGATGGCGACGAACATCGAAGCGGCAAGACTGCTGACATACGAGGCGGCGCGCAAAAAGGACTCCGGCGAGCGCGTTGATCTGGAAGCGGGGATGGCGAAGCTGTTCGCCAGCGAAATGTGCGGCGAAGTTACGATGGAGGCGATGCGTATCCACGGGGGCTATGGCTATATCAAGGACTATCCGCTGGAGCGCTACTACCGCGACGCCCCTCTGATGATTATCGGCGAAGGTACCAATGAGATACAGAAGTTGATAATTGCGCGGCGGCTGCTACAGAAGTACAAGATTTAGGCATCTGCCGACCGAAAAGTCTGGAGTAGGAAAGCACTATGATTCACGACGGTCGAGATTCATTCGGCGGTTACCTTGAAGACTTCAAGCCAGGCGATGTGTTCAAGCACTGGCCTGGCAAAACCATCACGTCGATGGACAATCACCTGTTCACGCTGCTGACGATGAACACGAACCCGCTCCACTTCGACGAGCATTATATGAAGGACCACCCGCATGGCAGAATCCTAGTGAACGGCATGCTCGTCTTCAGCCTTGTGGTGGGCATCAGCGTGCGAGATACTTCCGGCAAAGCCATCGCCAATCTCGAATATGAGAACGCCACGCACGACGGTCCCACATTCGAGGGTGACACCATCTACGCGGAGAGCGAGATTCTCGACGTGCGTGTGTCAAATAGCCGCCCTGACCGTGGCATCGTATATATGGAGTCACGTGGCATCAATCAACGTGGCGAGCAGATTCTTACGCTGAGGCGTCGTTTCCTTGTCACCAAGCGTCCCACAGAATCCTTGGTTGGCGCAGCTCAGTCCGATGCCTAGTCTTGGAGGGATGCGAGAGGTAACTTCAGCCTACACCGTCTCCATTCACTACGACCGCAGGCTGTATCGCCAAGACATCGCAGGCTCAATCGCTCATGCCCGCATGCTCGCCAAGCAGGGCATAGTTTCGGACGCTGATGCGGAGGCAATTACCAAGGGATTGCGGGAGATACTCCAGGAGATCGAGGACGGCAGTTTCGTTTGGCGCCCTGAACTCGAAGACATCCACATGAATGTAGAAAGCCGCCTGCATGAGAAGATAGGTGATGCTGCAGGCAGGCTGCACACGGCGCGCTCACGCAATGATCAGATTGCGCTTGATGTGCGGATGTTCGTCAAAGATGCCGTTGGCGAGGTTCTAAGCGCGATACACGACCTGAGAACATCTCTGATAGTGCAGGCAGAGTTGAATGCCGAAGTGGTGATGCCCGGCTATACTCACGTGCAACGGGCGCAGCCTGTGCTGTTCGCGCACCACATGCTGGCATACTTCGAAATGCTCGGGCGTGATTCTGACCGCTTCCAGCAGACCTATGAACGCGCCGATGTGCTGCCCCTCGGCAGCGGTGCGCTCGCAGGCTTGCCCTATCCCATAGACCGCGAATTCGTGGCGCAGGAACTAGGATTCAGCCAAATTTCTCGCAACAGCATGGACGCCGTTGCCGATAGGGATTTCCTGCTAGATTTTCAATCGGCGTCGTCGATATGCATGATGCATTTGTCACGGATGGCAGAGGAGTTTGTGCTATGGTCGTCCGATGAGTTCGCGTTCATTCGGCTCAGCGAGGAATACACGACCGGCAGCAGCATCATGCCGCAGAAGCGCAACCCCGACTTCGCGGAACTTGCGCGCGGCAAGACGGGTAGGGTGTTCGGCAGCTTGATGGCTCTGCTTACGCTAATGAAGGGCTTGCCGCTCACATATAATCGCGACATGCAAGAGGACAAGGAAGGCTTCTTCGACACCTTCGACACGCTGCTTGCCACGCTCACGATTTTCGCCGACATGATTGCGAAGATGCACATCGTTCCCGAGCGTATGCGAGAGGCGGCACAGGGCAGCTACGTGCTTGCCACCGACATCGCGGACTATCTGGTGGACAGGGGAATGCCATTCCGAGAAGCTCACGGTGTCGTTGCTCGCCTGTCGCGACATGCTGTGGAGCGCGGCGTTCAATTCGAGGAGCTGACGCTGGACGAATACCGTAGCTTCTCGACGCTGTTCGACGAAGAAGTGCTCGCTATAAGTGTAGATTCATCAGTCGCCGCGAGGGATGTTCCGGGCGGAACGGCGTTCGATAGGGTGAACCAGGCAGTCGCCGACGCCAAAACCCAACTTGTTAGTGAGCGGGGAGGCTCAAAATGACTGCTGAACGCCGCATCAAGATAGCGCCATCAATATTGTCAGCCGACTTCGGCAGACTTGGCGAACAGGTTGCAGAGGCGGAACAGGGCGGGGCGGACGCCATTCACATTGACATTATGGACGGCAACTTCGTCCCAAATATCACGATGGGGCCGATGATAGTCGAGGCGATACGCGGCTGGACAAGCCTACCCTTCGACCTGCACATGATGGTTGACGCCCCGGAGCGTTACATAGACGACTTCGCTCGCGCCGGCGCCGACATCATCACTGTGCATGCCGAGGCTTGCAGGCATCTGCATCGCACGGTGCATCAGATACGCGAGGCCGGCAAGAAGCCGAGCGTAGCCATCAGTCCTGCAACTCCTGTATCCGCAATCGAAGAGGTCATCTCTGATCTCGATCAGGCACTCGTAATGACTGTAAACCCAGGCTTCGGCGGGCAGGCGTTCATCGAGTCAATGCTCGACAAAATCCGCCGCGTCCGCGCACTCATTGACGAGCGTGGTTTGAACACAGACCTTCAAGTGGACGGAGGCGTCAGCACTGCAACTGCCAACAGCGTCGTTCAGGCAGGCGCGAATGTGCTCGTCGCGGGATCAGCAGTATACAACGACCGCATGAGCGTCGCCGAGGGGATTACGGCAATACGTACCTGCATCGGTTAGGTCAGTTCTGATTCTACGCCAATGCCCGCCGCGCCGCGTTCAGAGTCGCCTCTATATCGCATCGCTGTGCGCCGTTGAGACGAACATTGCCTCGAACGGCGACGGCGGCAGATACACACCCTCTTCCAGCATCCTGTGGAAGAAGCGGCCGAAACCTTCCCTGTCCGATGCTAACACCGTCTCCCAGCTGTTGACCTCGCCCGCATTGAAGAACAGCGTCATCATCGAGCTGACTCGGTTAATTCGCAACGGAATCTCAGCTTCTGCGAACACTTCCTGTAGTCCTGCCGCAAGCGACGCAGCCTTCGCCCCAAGCGCGTTGTACACGCCTGGCTCCTGCAACTGCTCCAGAGTGGCTATGCCGGCCGCCATTGCCACCGGATTGCCTGACAGCGTACCCGCCTGATACATCGCTCCCAGCGGCGCGACTGTCGCCATGATCTCCGCGCTGCTGCCGTACGCGCCCACGGGCATGCCGCCGCCGATGATTTTGCCCAGACAGGTGATATCGGCGTTGATGCCGTATCGCTGCTGCGCGCCGCCATACTCCACCCTGAAGCCGGTGATAACCTCATCGAAAATCAGCAGAGAATTGTGTTTCTCAGTCAGATCACGCAGACCTTGCAAGAATCTGTCATGCGGTGGCACAACGCCCATATTGCCTGCGACAGGTTCGACGATGACGCAGGCAATATCTTCAGGAAAAGCGTCAAAGTGCGCCTCTACGGATGCAGGGTCGTTGAATACTCCAAGGAGAGTATCCTGCGCGAAAGATGCGGTTACGCCCGCGCTGTCCGGTACGCCGTGTGCCAGCGCTCCCGACCCAGCTGCTACCAGCAAAGCGTCCGAATGCCCGTGGTAACCGCCCTCGAACTTGACGATCTTAGACCTGCCCGTGTACGCTCGCGCCAGACGCAGCGCGCTCATAGTCGCCTCTGTTCCAGAGTTCACGAAGCGCACCATTTCGATGGATTCGTAGGCATCTACGACTAGCTGCGCAATCTCGTTCTCACGCTCGGTGGGAGCGCCGAAGCTGGTGCCGTCCGCCGCCGCCTGAGTTATCGCCGCCACGACGCTCTCGTTGGCATGTCCAAGAATCAGCGGGCCCCAAGAGCACACATAGTCGATATATTCGTTGCCGTCCGCATCCCAGACTCTGCTGCCGGAGCCTCTTGTGAGAAATAATGGATTGCCGCCAACCGCGCCCCAAGAGCGCGCGGGGCTGTTAACACCGCCGGGAATCACGTCCTTGGCGGTGTCGTATAGTTGCCTAGATCGTTCTCGGTTCAAGGTTCTACCTCACTGATGTTGCTGGCAGTATTTTTGAGATAACGCAGCGCATATCATACCATCATCCGCCTCCTTCGGGGCGCAACTTTTGCCCTGAGCGGCTCGGACGTTGTACACTTTCTTGTGAACGGAACGCACTCTTAGGAATGGGGCAACAATGAAAATCACAGGCATTAAGACGCACATATTCTCCTCACAGCATCGCAACGCCAAGCGCAACTGGCTTATATTGCGCCTGACCACCGACGAAGGTATCGAAGGGATCGGCGAGGCGTCGATGCTGAGCCACGACCCGATGGTGGCAACGCTGCTGCACGAATGGACGGAAGCCTATCTCGTGGGCAAAAATCCGCTGCACCACGAAGTTCACTGGACGCGCATGTACCAGGACAATCTAGGGCGTGGTGGTCGCCTTTTCAGCACTGCTCTCTCCGGCATAGATATCGCGCTCTGGGACCTGCGAGGCAAGGCACTCGGCGTGCCTGTTTATGAACTGCTTGGCGGTCCGTACACCGACCGCATCCGTGTATATGCCAACGGTTGGTACACCAACCCCGGCTTACCCGAACAGAATGCTGAGGAAGCACTGCGCGTAGTGGAGATGGGCTACACTGCGATGAAGTTCGACCCTTTCGGACACCACAATTACACGACCATCTCCCCCGCAGGAAGCGCAACTCGCCGAAGACAGAGTGGCCGCCGTGCGTGAGGCGGTCGGCCCCAATGTGGAGATACTGGTCGAAGTGCATGCCAAGTTCAATGTCTATACTGCGATACACCTCGGCAAGCGTCTTGAGCAGTATCGCCCGTTCTGGTTCGAGGAGCCTGTGTCGCAGGAGAATGTGTCGGAGATGAAGCAGGTGCGGGACAATGTGAATATTCCCATCGCCACTGGTGAAAGGCTTTACACGAAGTTCCCCTTCTTCGAGCTAGTGAAGAACGAGGCGGTTGACATCCTACAGCCCGATATGTGCAACGCCGGCGGGATCACCGAATTGAAGAAGATCGCTGCCATCGCCGAGCCGCAGCACATCATGATGGCGCCGCACAACACCAACGCCGCTGTCGGCACGGTCGCCAGCTTCCATCTTGACGCGGCAATGCCCAATTTCCTCATACAGGAATATCACGCAGAGTTCTACGAGCCGCACTACTTCGAGGTATTCGACGGATTACCCCGACAGAAGAACGGCTATGTGGAACTGCCAAAAGGCGCAGGGCTGGGTTTGACGTTTAATGAAGAAGTAGCGAACGCTCATCCGCACATGCCGCTGGATCACAGTGAGCGGGGAATCTAATAGACACATACTCGACTGTAAGTTTGAGGCATTCCAAATGAAAATCCTGGGCATCGAAACGTCCTGCGACGAAACCGCCGCCGCCGTCATTGAGGACGGCAGCTATATCCACTCGAATGTAATTGCTTCTCAGGCGACGCTTCACGCACAATATGGTGGAATCGTCCCTGAGATAGCCTCGCGCCAGCACATGATTACCATTATCCCTGTGCTTCGACAGGCACTGGACGAGGCATCAATTGAGGCGCATGAACTTGACGGTGTGGCCGTTACGCATGGGCCTGGACTGGCAGGTTCGCTGCTTATCGGCGTGAACGCCGCAAAGGGCTTTGCTCTCTCCAATGAGCTGCCATTCATCGGCTTAAACCACCTCGAAGGGCATATTTACGCCGCTTGGCTTGAGGAAGGCGTAAATCCTGAAGGGTCGCCCGGCTTTCCGCTGATGTGCCTTATCGCTTCCGGCGGACATACCGACCTGATACTGATGAAAGGGCATGGCGACTACACTCTGATTGCCCGCACTCGCGACGATGCCGCGGGCGAGGCATTCGACAAGGCGGCGCGCGCATTGGGGCTTGGCTTCCCCGGCGGTCCTGAGATTCAAAGGGTCTCAGAGCATAGCATTGGGGGCGAGCCGCGCTTCCCTCGTCCGGTGGTCAGGGACTCGTTGGACTTCAGCTTCAGCGGCTTGAAGTCTGCGGTTGCACGGCGGGCCGAAGAGTATGGGATGTATCCGCCGTCAGAGGACACGCCGCCCGACCCACAGCAGGTTGCGAATGTAGCGGACGCTTCCAGGAGGCAGTGGTTGACTGCATGGTGCAGCGGACGATTCAGGTGGTCGAGCGGTATCACGTGAAGGGTGTTGTTCTTGGCGGCGGCGTGGCGGCGAACAGCCATCTCAGGAAAGAAATGCACAAGCGAGTTCCAGTCGAAGTGGTTGTGCCAAGGCCCGGTCTCTGCACCGACAACGGCGCGATGATGGGCGCCGCTGGCTTCTTCCATTTCCGCGATGGCATAAACTCCCGGTGGGATGTGGATGTCGTGCCCAACCTGCGCCTAGGCTAAATGTTCGTATAACGACCGGTAACTTGACTCGCTAGAGGCTACCTCGGTGCGAAGGAATTGGCGCGGGCGTATTTCGACAGACTCCTCTCCGCCTTCAATTCAAACATCCTTGCGATGAGAGCCTCTGCTTCCTCCTGATTTCGCTCGCCTTTCAGATCAATCCGAATCTCTCCACCGTTGGTTTTGAAGACAAGCACATGCTCGCCGCCGGATGTCAAGCGGTCGTAAATCAGATAGACGCCCATAAGAGCTACGATTACCGCGGCCCCAATCGAAATCGTCTGATTTTCGATGATTCGCCATAGCGCAGCCGAAACAACGAACGCAAGCCCTGCCCATACGAAAGAGCCGTAACCACCTGCCGGCTGACTAGTAATTTCGACGGCGCTGATGTCTTCGATTGCGGCGAACGATGTCCTCCGACTTGACTCCGACCCGCTCATCTGAATGACGCGATTGTCGGTCAGCACAACGACTTCGCCGCCGCCGTCATGGGCATCTTCCCCTTTGTCGATGCCCAGCGATGCCAGAATTTCCTCATTCGCCATAAGAGTGACGCCCCTCACTCTTCCTTGCGCCAACACGCCCTTTTTTGCCTTTGCTTTTAGCATCTGCTCCCCGCCAAATGGCCGTCATATGAATAAAGAATCTAGACTCCGCCGCAATCTTACGAGGAACGACCAGCGCGCTTGTCCTTGTCGCGCCTGTCCAAATGAGTAACGCCGTCCTTCATCACATACTTCACTGCGTTGCCGCGTTCCAGAATAGTCACATCGTCTAGCGGATTGCCGTCCACTAGGATGATGTCCGCGCATTTGCCCGCTGAGATGCTGCCGATCTGCTCTGCAAGCCCCATGCAGCCGGCGGCGTCGCCAGTTGCGGCGACTATAGCCTGCATCGGCGTCATTCCCGCTTCCACGAGGCAGCTGATTTCGTGGGCAGTTGTTGCCGTGCTCCCATCCACCCTCGTCCGTTCCAGCCGTGACCGTGACTCCGTACTCCAGCGCCATCCGAAGGCTCTTGACATGGTGCTGTCGTAGTGCGGCAGCGCGTGCCTTGCCGTGCGGCGTCCCCTGAGTGGCGTGGAAAGTGTACACGCCGTAGGTCGGAGTGAAAACGATTCCCTTCTCCGCCATCATTTCAAGCAGTTCGGGATCCTCGTCGAGATAAGAGCCGTGCTCGATAGAATCCACTCCCACTTCGATAGCCATTCGCAGACCTTCGCCGCCAAGCGCGTGGCACATTACTCGGCGGCCGCGCTTGTGCGCCTCATCCACCAGCGCTTCCAGCTCCGCTCGCTCAAACAGCACGTCCTTTGGTCCGAGACCGGCGGTCGAGCTTGCACCACCGGTAGTCGCGGTCTTAATCACATCCGCGCCTGCGCCCACCATCTCACGCACCTTGGCGCGCATTCCTTCGGGACCGTCCGCCACGACCCCAGGGCAGACCGGAGTCCGCACCCGCAGGCGGCTTGTAGCCGAGTGGGCTGACCCTGTCTCCCATGCCTCCGGTTGGCGTAATGAACCCCAGCCCGACGTGAAGCCGCGGACCAGGCACCAGACCTTCGTCCACCGCAATGCGAAAACCTGCGTCCAGTCCGCCCGCGTCCCGCACGGCCGTATATCCTGTTTCCAGCGTCTGCTTCAGCACGGAAGCGATTCGCAGGTGGCGCGTGCTGCGCGGTTCGGTAATACCCCAGCGACTCGCAATTTCGTAGCTGAACGACGCCAGATGGTCGTGCGTGTCGATAAGCCCTGGCATAAGCGTCATCCCGGAGGCGTCGATGACCTCCACACCCTCTGGAATCCTCACATCCCCAGCGCTTCCGGCCTCCACAATGGCGCCGTCTTCAACCAGCAGCACCGCGTCCGATACTGGCATAGCCCCCGTGCCGTCAATCATCGTCGCGCCCGTGAATGCCTTCATGCTCAACCCTCCTGAATCTCACAATACTCTATTGCTGCGATGATACCACTTCTGGTAAGGCCCTCATAGAATACGCCTGCATTGTTGGACGAAGTATCCCTGCTGTGCTATTCTCCAATCTGATTTGCCATTTCAAATAACGAACATAGGAGTTCTGTATGGAACGCCCAATCATCAAGCCTATTGGCACACCGGTAGAAGAGTTGGACACACCCGCCCTTGTCGTGGACATGGACACGCTGGAGTCCAACATAGAGCAAGTTCACTCCCACTTTCGGCAATTGGACGCCAAACTCAGGCCATACACCGAAACGCACCGTTGCCCCACAATAGCGCACAAGCAGCTTGCGGTGGGTGGCACCGTTGGCGGCATCGCAGTTGCGAGCGTTGGCGAAGCCGAATTGTTCGCGCAGAACGGTATCGCCGATATTCTCCTCGTGAACGAAGTCGTAACCCCATCCAAGATTAATCGTCTCTGCGCGCTCGCCAGGCAGGCGAACATCACAGTTGCTGCAGATAATTCTGCCAACGTTCGCAGCCTTTCCGAGGCGGCTCGAAGCAGCGGTGTCAGCTTGAATGTCCTCGTTGATATCAACACAGGACAAGACCGCAGCGGTGTCGCCCCCGGTCAACCCGCCCTCGATCTCGCCCGCGCGATCGCACATAGCGAAGCCCTGAACTTCAACGGGCTGCTGGCACTCGGCGAGGCTGAACTCTCACGGGATGCTGATGCCATCGCAAGTGAAGCAGGCGGGCGCATTCAGCAAACTCTTGACACACGCGAGCTGCTGGAGCAAAACGGCATAGAGGTGAGCACTGTCAGCGTGAGCGGCACCCACTGCTATCGTCAGGCATCCGAAATATCCGGCGTGACCGAGGTTTTGGCGGGAACCTACGCCCTGATGGACCAGCGGCACAGCGCGCTTCTCCCCGAACTCCAGCCGGCGGCAAAAGTGCTCGCCGCTGTAACCAGCCTGCCGGAACCCGGCACCGCAATCCTAGACACCGGACGCAAGGCAATGGGGGACGACTACGGCTTTCCTGTCATAGCAAATCGCAGCGATGTTGAAGTCACTTCGATGAGTGCGGAACACGGCAAGCTGCAATGGGAAGAAGACACTGATGTGGCATTGAGCCTGGGTGACAGAATCTGGTTCACGCCGATGGACGTAGGCTCTTGCGTCAACGTGTACGACTACATTCAAGGAACGCGGCGAGGCAGACTCGAATCCGTGCTCGCCATATCCGCGCGAGGCCTATATCGCTAAAACTGTACCGTTAGGACATCATCCACACTCTTGAGACAAGATGGAGCATACCAATGGAGAACTACCGACCGCTTATAGGTACGGACATAAGTGATCTAGACACGCCATGCCTGCTAATTGATATAGACGCTCTTGAGCGCAACTATCAGCTCATCGCCGATACCTACAGAGATACCGACTGCAAGATGCGCGCCCACATCAAGAACCTGAAGTCGCCAATGCTGGCGCACATGCAGATTCGCGTGGGTGGCACCGTGGGCGGCGTATGCGCCGCGAAGGTCTCCGAAGCCGAAGCTATGGTCGAGGGCGGCATAGACGATGTTCTGATTCCTAATCAGGTTGTCTCGCCTGACAAAATTGCTCGCCTCTGCAACCTCGCAAAGCGGGCAAAAATGATGGTAGCGGCGGACAACTCAGATAACTTACAGGCCATTTCTGATGCCGCCAGCAAGATGGATGTCTCTATCGGCGTAGTCATCGAAGTTGACACGCAAATGGAGCGCGCAGGCATAAGAGCGACTGAACAGGGCGTTGCGCTTGCCAAGGTCGCGGATTCATTGCCCGGCGTAGACTTCAGGGGGGTGATGAGCCACCAGACGCTTGCCGGCCAGCCCGACCGCGAGACCCGCTTTATCGAGGGTCCTCGCTTCATTCAGAAGACACTCGATGTCAAGGACGCAATCGAAGCTGAAGGCATCGCCGTGGAAGTTGTCTCAGCAGGGGAGAGCTGGACCTACGACATCTGCCCGACCATCCCTGGCGTAACCGAGGTCGAGGGCGGTACCTATGCCCTGATGTCGCATGCCTATGCATACATGGATGAGTTCGAGTATGCCGGAATGATTTTGGGCACCGTCACCAGCACACCCCGACCCGGCGTTGCCGTCGGCGACACAGGTTCGCGCTGTCTCGCATCGCCCAGCGGCGTGCTGCCCGAAGTGCTTGGCATCGATGGCGTGCGCGTGGACTCGCTTGGCGCGAACCATATCGTGCTGAAATCCGAAGGTGACATGCCACTGCAACTCGGCGACAAGTTCCAGCTGATTTCCGGACAGCAGGACATCATGGTCAACCGCTGGGATCAGTTCATTGGGGTGCGAAACGGCAAGGTAGAAGCTATCTGGGACATTACCGCCCGCGGCTGCCACAACTAGTTTACGGCCAGAGCTACTATGGCCATCAGCAAATGGCTCTTCGCCACATGGTACGACCTGCTGAACTCCGGCGTCGAGGGCCGAGTCGTCCCGTACCGAAAGCTCACCGCCGGCAATGCCTGGGGCGATGTGCTGGAAATAGGTGGCGGCACCGGCGCAAACCTCCCGTACTATCCAGAGAGTGCCAACATCACCTTCATCGAGCCGGACACGCATATGGTCCGAAAATTGCGTCGGAACATTGTGCGGCACAAGCGGAGCGCTGCCATCGTTCAGCAAGGGGGCGAAAGCCTTCCGTTCGCCGACGCCAGCTTTGACACCGTCGTAACGACTCTTGTGCTCTGCATGGTTAGTGACGCCGATGCCGTAGTGCGAGAGGCACGGCGCGTCCTTAGACCCGGAGGCGCGTTTCTGTTCTACGAACATGTCATTTCTCCTCGGCCGCGTGGGCGATGGTGGCAGCACAGGCTCAACCCGGCTTGGAAGTGCCTGACAACGGGATGCAACCTGAACCGCGACCTTACCGCGTCAATCCGGAACGCAGGATTCACTAGCGTTGAACTCGAAGCATTCGACCTCTCAGTGCGCTTGCCTGTTACAATACCCAACATAGTCGGCATAGCCAGAGGATGATACAAGCATCCTCTGGCCGTATGTCCCAGGAGTCCCAGATGCGCGTCAAGGAGAGCGTTCCGGAATGGTACGACGACACAGGAAAGCGTGTTACGCGTATGCCCGACGCCATTCATCTCGCGGCAAGCGGCATAGTCGTTAATGAGAAGGGCGAGATACTGCTTCAAAAGCGCGCCGATAACGGTCAGTGGGGACTGCCTTCCGGATATGTTGACATTGGTGAATCGGTGGAGCATGGGTGCATCCGCGAAATCTGGGAAGAGACCGGAATCCACACGCAGGTAAAGCGACTCGTTGGAATTTATTCAGATCCCCAACACAATGTCATCGCTGCCTACCCTGATGGCAGTCTAATACAATTCGCAATAGTGGTATTCGAGTGTGAGTACCTTTCTGGTCAGCTGAGAATCTCCGACGAAAGCACCGACATCGGATACTTCCCACCCGACAATCTTCCCGATGACACGGTGCTTTGCGACTTGCTCGCTATCAAAGACGCACTGGAAGATCGGGAAAGGCCTTTCATTAGATGAGGAGGTAAATAACTATGGAATTTGAACGAGCTCGCCCATTTATGGAGACGCACCACAGAGGCGTCATATCAACGCAGCGATCGGACGGCGCGGCACACTCCAGCATCGTCGTCTGCGGCGCATACGAGGGCAACGCAGCCTTCGTCTCCGTCTATCCGCGCTCGCAGAAGATACGCAACCTGCGTCGCAATCCCAACTGCACCGTGCTCTGTGTGTCGGACGACTGGCGGGAGTGGGCGTCAGTCGAAGGCACTGCAACGCTCTACGACTATGGCAACATGGACGCCGAGGAGGCCCGCGTGATGCTGCGCAAGGTCTATATGGCGTGCAGCGACACCGAGCATCCCGATTGGGAAGAGTACGATCAGGCGATGATTGACCAGGAAGCTGTCATCGTGCTTGTTGAGCCGAAGCGCGTTTACGGCTTGCTCCGAAGCTAAAGAGTTGTCCGCACATCCGCACGGGCGCGTCGAGCAGATATGCTATAATTGCTCGTGCCTCGACGCGGAGAGATGGCCGAGCGGACGAAGGCGCCGGTCTCGAAAACCGGTATGGGCGCAAGTTCATCGTGGGTTCGAATCCCACTCTCTCCGCCATATACATACCCCAAACTTTCCCCGGATAACCCACATTATTCTACCGTAGACTGCTTTACGTCACTTTCACTGTCTTGTCAGTCCCCTCAAAATCCTGCGAAAGCCCACACTTACTGTGGGGACAAGCGTTGGAAAATGAACAGGTTGACAGCAGCCAAAGTCGGGAATCTCAACAACCCCGGCAGATATTGCGACGGCGAGGGCCTGTACCTGAACATAGGCATGCGTGGTTCAAAGAGTTGGGTGCAGCGCAAATCCATTGACGGCATTCGACGCGATATCGGCCTTGGCTGTCAA